TAGATTACTATAAGGAGTGAGGAATTCTCACTAATACAATTTTTCTAAAAACAGAAGAGACAGTCCTTGTCAAGAGTAGCTGGTACCGTCAAATCCTAACGTCAGTTCAGGTAGCTTGGTCCCAGTACTGGCTTCATATGTGAATAACAGCAATAACTGGCTTCATGCTACAATCTTGTGGCAGAACATAATTCCTCTCAGAATTTGGTAAGTCAGACCTAGGGCTACAAGGTGAAAATCGCTACTGCAATTAGGCTCCATTGTTGAATAAAAGAAAGGGAAATGTCATTGATAGTGATCTTAAAATATTTAATAGTCTTTCTTTAAAATCCAAAATGTGATTCTTACAAGTTATGTGCCACATGAAGCAGGTGTTATTTTTTGAGAAATGCAGGTGATACTGAAAAACAAAGCACTGAGGTATTTTTTATTTTTAAAACTGAAGAAGGAAACAAAGTCTGGATCTAATTATTTTTACATTTACAAAAAAACTGCTACTGCTTGGCTCTTCTGCTATAATTTTAGGTTCTGAATACATGACAAGAGTATGGGAAAGAGCAGAATAATATAGTACACGCAGTTTTAAAAGCTATGCACATCATAACCTGGAATAATGATTACACAGCAAGAGGCCTGAGTGGAGGTAGGCTAACAACACATTTTGACTTTCTCCTCAAAGGATAGCTTTGAAAAACAAGTGTAACCAATTGTTACACCAAATTAAAATGGCAATATTAAATCGGTAACAAAACGATCCACATATTTTATACAATACTGTATTTCCAAACATACATAGGTCATGAAAATCAGAGAACCTAATATAGCACCGTTGAAACCATTCAATATCCCTCATGTGTCTATGCAATTTAGAATTCTGGCAGAAGACAACAGCTGGAAAATGTCAGTTTCAATCTCTGTACATCAGTTTGGATTTCAATTAAATGTTTGTCTTAGTAAAAGATATTCTTATTTCAAGATCAATTAGCCATTTTTAGCTCCACCGTTTTGGAAGTAGAAATGATGGGCTACATCTACTTTTTAATTTAAAACCAAGAACCAAGCAGTAAGGACAGCAATGTCAAGAATATCACATTGAGAACCACACAGAACATTATAAAGATTTTGGTGCATGTTTTTTACAACTACCAACTGAGGTTAACAATGAAAAGTTTACAAAGATAAAAGTTTTTGTGTTTTTTTGCACTGACTGGTTTCAATACAGCACGGAATTTAAAAACTCATCTTTGGGCTTCAATCTTTACATAGAGTGAACATGAAAGTGCCATACTGAGGCCTTCCCCAACTTATACCATGGTAAAGATTTCAAAATCATTCTAGAATGGTCTAAATGACAGCTGTTCTGGCTGACATATCTTTTTTTTTGTTTGTTTTTTAAAAAGACATTTCGTGGCCAGTTTTTTTGCTTGAAGATGATTGGTTATACAAGACATCAATCTGAAGGTAACCACTTATTTTAACTTCTTAGCACTGGCACAACCATTGCCAGAAGTGAACTGTGCTAGTCCAAGCCAACTCAAAAACACACATTATAAACATCTGAATGTCACTTTTAAAAGCGATGTCACAGTTTGTTTTCTAAGAAATTTAAAAGCATTTACTTGAAAACACTGTATCTTCAATTGAACCCTCAGAGTTAAGAAATATTTTTTAGATTATTAAATTCAATTGTGGCTGACGTGCTTTAATTACCATTCTCTAAGTTGTGTGCTGTACCTGGCCTGTGGGACTCCATACCTTCTCTGAATCCTAAAGTAGAGGATTCTGTTCCAATGCATGTGAGTAAGACGGATCCTCAAATGTCTAGGCTTCCAATATTCCAGCACTGCTTTATCGGGCAGTGCTGCGTATGGAAATTTTGTTTTCAAAGGACCAAGCAACGTGACACTATATTAAAGACAGCAAACATTTTTTGTAGAATTTTTCAGTCTGTATACATTATTCCACCAAATTTAAGAACTTTAAATGGATTTTAATATGGATATGATAGTGGCAGCCATTAAAAGATGCTATTTCTTTTACTAATGTTTTCCCAAATGGGCAAAATAGAGGGATTGTGTGCCCGTCATACTGGCCTTTGGCTGTGTTGGGGAAGTAATCATACAAAAAGTGCCCATAAAACAGAGAAGGCAGCAAGTGAAACGAGAAAAAGGTTGGAACCATATGAAGCAGATTTGAAAGGAGTATTTTTTAAAATTCTCTCTTACATGACTTGAAGACAGGAGGGAAGTGCAGGGGCATCTGGAGTTGGGCCCTCCACTGCCGTCCTGAAGTAAAGCAGATTCAAACTGTCCATAAAGATTATCGTGAGGGTTAGTGACTGACTGCAACCCAAATCAGACCCAGTTCTCTAAGAAGATTATGGTGCAAAACAAAACAAACCACAAATTAAATACATGACACTGAAATCACTTTGATGAGAAAACAGAACACACATTTTAAAATATAAATAAATACATTTAGCCATTTTTATTCAAGAACCCAGAGAACTGCTTTCAAAGCAAATGCTTCTTTGAACCCCTTTCTAAATTCTTTCATAAATACTTACTAGTTTGATTGTCACTTAATGCAGCACCTCAGTGTTTGCTGGTGGTGGTGATGGAATTTCACGTAATAGTCTCTCCATAAATTATATCCTATTCCACTAAATAATGTTTCCCTGAGGAAACCCAAGCAGCTTACAAAATACTGCTGAACACTCACAACAAAACCTGTGAAGTATTTTATTTAAGAAAAAAAAAAAAAAGGAATGTAGTGTTATGACACAGGGGAAAAAAACTATGCAAAACAGTCACATGGAAAGAATTTTAATTTTTAAAATCCAAGTTTGTTTAATTTCTTGTGAACTGTTCAACATTGTTTTAAATATCCTGAATAACTGTACCAACAAAATTCATCCCCAGTGTTTCCACAGGAGACATTAAAAATCAAATTATACTTTTTTTCCTCTGACCAAAGTAGTCTTTTTCTCAGTCCTTTTTGTGCAAAAATAGTACAAGAGCAATTCAAATGGAAACGCTGAAATGACATGCCAACATTTCAGGGCACATTTAAAACACTCAGAATAATTCTTGAAATTATTATATTCTAAAATATTACTAGCAGTCACTTTTAGATTAGTTCTGTACATCTACTCAAACGGATGCAATTTTCCTAGACCTCTGAAAAATAAACAGGCTCATTGGTCTCTTTTGGTGTCCACACAATAGGCAAGATAGGTTTACAATAGTGTTTAAATCAAACTAGGCATCTATAATCTCCTGACTCCACCACATTCAAAACAAAAGTCAAAGTTCATTTGGCTGTCTTGAAATCACTCCCATAAACCAACTACGGTTCACCGGATCTAAACATTTCTCAGAAATGTGTCATTTTATATAATTTCACCTAAGTGATGATTTGGGGATCCTTTAGAAATGGTTAACGCCTAAGAACTTTATCAAAATGAGTAATTGAAATAAAGTGCTTGTTATATTTCAAAATGATGCTTTTAGACTGGTATGTTTGTTTTAAAGGTGTGTGCTATTCCTTCCGTAAAGGATCCCCAGGCATGAGAGTTGGGTCTTCTCACCTGTCTCATAAAGCAGCAGCACTATCTTTTGGTAGGCTGACAATAGGCACATTACCCATGCGGATGAGGCTATACTAGTGCTATGGCAAAAGGGGAAGTAAATTAGAAAAGTGGGAGGCATGTAGAGGGTTCCTATTATACTCAGTTATATACAAATATATTAAATATACTATAAAAATAGTCGATTCTATTCCTTTGCAATTACTTCAGAAGCTCCTTTTAGAAGAATGCTCACCCAATCCAAACTTAAAAGGTTCTCTTTCTCCAAACACTTAAAATGGCAAGTGCCTTTGTGCTGTTTCTTCTCTACCATTCAAAAATTCCAATCAGCTTACTCCTGGCTATATTCACTCAGCAACATTAATATCCAGTGTTAACCCCTTCCAACAGGGACTCCTGTGGGATTAAGACAGGGCCACAGGTAATTGGAAAGGTTATAGACTTGAATGAGTTTTACACAAATATTCATCAACAAACTTTCAATTACCAAAGAAACAGAAAAAAGAAATACTAAGGTAAAATGCTATATGCATTCCACTTTTTAAAAGTTTGCCTCAATGTAGTGGAAACATTTTAAAACATGTTGAGTAATATCCAGTTTAAAAGAATTTTCACTTGTCTGCGTAGAGTACTTACTATTTTAAGGGTCCCTTTCTAAGGCTTCTTGAACAAGGCTTCTTCTCCCTTCAACAAAGTGCTCTTGATAGAGCTGGACTGCTGCAGTGCTCCTAACGTCAAGCAGACTGCTTTAAGGCAATGACCAACAACTATAGCACTCCTAAAGAATCCAAACATTTTCACTATTCTGCACTGAATATTCTATAACAAACTATTCAAAATCACTGGCATCTTTTTATTACTAATACATTCCTAAGCCAGATATAAATGACAACGGAGAGCACAGCACTCTCAAGTTACTCCCAGAATTTGGGATGCTCGGAGGCTAGACCACACTATTTACTCACATGCTACCTGCATCTCCCACACTTGTTCCTCCAATATGTTCCATTAAAAAAATGGAGTACTTTTTAAGTGTCTGGGTTCTGGTTTGACACCACTCTCAGGAGCCACTTCATTAACACTTGTAGTTCTCACTTGCATTTGTTAAGCAATACTGACTCCCCCAATACCATAACTCCCAAGTCCAAAGCATGGTAACTGCAGAGTAGCTAGCATTTTTTATGAACCTCAATGGTTTCTTACCTAAAAAGTACCACCCAGAATAAATGTTTTTAAGAAAAATGAATATCTGAGAGTAAAGCAGAGGGAAGACTGTTTTTTTTTTTTT